ATAGACTGAGTTACACTGAACGTCGATCTATATTCTATCTCTGTCTTTTGCACTTGGTAGGGAATAGGGAAATGCTTTTTTAGTGGGTGTAAACGGACTTGATTTACCAGTCCTGAGAAACGTCATAGCATAAGCGTAGACGAGGGGTCTAATTCCATGGCTATAATAAATTTATAAATTAAAAACACAACTGGGACGTTTTAAAATGCTGTAATAATTAAAATGTATCAAAATGCCGATTATAGCAAACCGTAGAAAATATTAGATGTTATGTTTTATTATCTTTTTTCAATATTTTCTATATTTTGTTGCCTTTTACGCAGACACGCCAATTGATTTTCGTTCCCGGCACGCTTCATCCCCCTTACAAGTCCAAAAGCTAGCGATGAGTCACTCTCTATAATTTCGACCGCGGAGTATAACTACCATTGTATTTCAAAAGGAACAACAGCAATGTCCTGCCATCACGTCAAAAGTGACAGTTTTTTACATGACTTCCGTAAAGGTAAACCTTTGAGGAATTTGGTGTACTCGCATAAGGGAATGCAAGGGTAATGCGGAGTGTGATAGGGTAATACAAACATTTCTGAGGAAATTAGGGTAATTCCAATCTCAATTTTAATTTATTCAATATTTAAAATACATACAGGGTGTTCCACCCAAGAGAGATTATTCTGTAACTGTATAGTTTATAAAAAAATGACTAATATAAGTGGTATGGAATCATGTGGGCCATGTAAAGAAAATATTTTTAGCTTTGCAGGTTGTTCCATTTAGCGTGAGCGCTACATACCTTTGTTATTTTAAATGGAACACCCTGTATATTACTGCATTGTCGAATTCCTTGGTTAATATTATAGTAGGATCATATTCGATGCAAAGTAATAAATCATTGCCTGTCAAGGGAATCAGTGCAACACGTTTTAGGGGGTTTTGAAAATTAAATACCTAATTTCTTTATGCATTATGGATTAATAGTTATATATTTATGAAGGGCAAAATGGAAAACAAAGGCATCTCCTTTGCACATTGGGCGGCAGGGCAACAATACATTTATTACTCCCTTCATCCTCCTTCATATGACTTGTGTCTTGTGTTTGTCGCGGCGGCGCGCGTGCCGGCCCGGCGTGAACAGTTTCGTTTCGGTTGTATTGGTGCTGCGTGTTTCTCGCTCGCGATATTTGTGAGGTTATAACTGTTATAAGTGCAATTATATTTCGTTAGGGCTATATGTGTGTTTCGCGCTATTATTTGAGAATTTGTGAGAGAAACCATACCTCCTATGCTCCGCAACAAAAGTGTTTTTAGTGTTTTATTTGTGTGCTGTGTGTGTGTATTTCGGGCTGTTGCTTGTAAATCGTGAATGCTATTATATTTTCTGTGCTAGTGAAGTGAAGTTTTTTTGTATTATTATTATTGCTTTGTTGTCGTTATATGGAGAAATGGAGGCGGTGCCTGGATGTTCGCAAGCCGGATGTACTGCTGTGGGTACAAAAAAATCTGTATTAAGTTAGAGAGAAAAAACGATAATATTAGATGTCTATAACGCTTTAGAAAAGGATCATTCTATGAAACTGAAGACTGGTTTGGTGGAAATGTGTTCTAGATATACTGGAGTAAGCGAATCATCTGTTTTCAAAATTTTAAGAGAGAAGAAAAATGAAGGAGACGTTAAGATACCTAAAAAAGGGGTGGAAAAAAGAAATTAATATTAAATGAAGATGAGAAAGATGCAGTTCGGCGTACAGTATATAAATCATAGAATTTATATTTTGTTAATAATTTGTTAATATTTCTTGTTTGATAGAAAAATAACTTATTTTATTGAGATTCATAGAGAATTGTTGTTAGTGTTTTCATTTGATAGAATCATATCATAGGATTTATACTTTGTTTTCATTCTGCAAATATTTTTAGTATATCTGTTATACAAGATTTTTGCTTTGAAACTTCGTTCTCCTTATAAAAAAAAAAGAATCGTAATGGGGTGCGACGATGATTCCAGGCAACTTTTATTAAAACCATTTTTTATAAATTTTACAGTTGCAGAGTTACAGAAAAATCCCTCTTAGGTGGAACACCCAGTATATAATTATATACAGGGTATGTACTAAAGAAAGGGCCATACTTTAAGGCTATCTTCATTGGAAGAAAATAAGGTGATTTAAATCAACTTACCTTAGTACCACCTTGCTTCCTTAAGAAGTTATAGGCCCGAGAAAGTAGTTTTTTATTTCACTTTTTTGCGATAATTTATTTATTATTTGAGTAATTTTACTTAAACTTTGAAAAAATTGTTTTTTTTTGTGATACAAACACGAATATTTGCTTGTTTTTTTGCGATGTATATAAAGGGCGTTCTGAGATCGTTTCCTTCAGATTTTTTTTAACGATCTATATTTTTGGAAAATGATTATTTTAAACCAGCATTCGATTTGTTTTAAAAAAGGTATCCTTGTTGCACGTTGCTGAAATGCACTGTTTACAGAAGATAACGTTAAACTGGAAGTTGTCGCCCAAAGAGACGTCATGGGCGACTTGTGGTTGCAACTGTTCAGCAGGAGGAAGCGGTATTGGAATTTATTGAATATGACTCAACCACAAGTATCTGCAGTATATCCGCCAAT